TACCTAAAGTTTTCAGCCCAGGGATACTGAGAGGTGTAAACATATGCCTCTCTAATTACCTTTTCTTTGCTTCGTCTTGGACGCTCTTGGTTGGAAGTCAGCCCATTTAAAAAGAATGGGATGTGGGAATCTTGCAGAAATGGCATGGACTTTTGCTTTGTTTCATTTTCATTTTGTTCACCCTGCACCGTGGCAGCTGAGGTTTCAAGTTTTCAGCCCAGGGATACTGAGAGGTGTAAACATATGCCTCTCTAATTACCTTTTCTTTGCTTCGTCTTGGACGCTCTTGGTTGGAAGTCAGCCCATTTAAAAAGAATGGGATGTGGGAATCTTGCAGAAATGGCATGGACTTTTGCTTTGTTTCATTTTCATTTTGTTCACCCTGCACCGTGGCAGCTGAGGTTTCTTGTTATTTCTGAAAATGCAATTCCCACTTTCCAGTGTTACAGATTTTTTTAAAATTTCTAGTAAAATCCTCTTTTTACTGCACAATAGAAGAGATCCACAGAGGAGATTAGCTACACGTTTTCCTGAGTCCACCCCTTTCTCATTAACTGGTACTGTAAAGTCTCAAAAACTCATCCTGAGACATTTGTAGGAGAAAGAATGAAAAACATTTCTTTACTTCCTCTTTCTGAGATTACAGATTTATGTATAGTGCTTTCTTTATTGTACACCTACTAGCAACCAAACAAGCAGATCAACAGTAACAAGCAACTGCCATCGACTGATGAAAAAGAAGTATAGAACACTTACCGGAGAGGCAGGACATTAAAAAGACAGTATTCAAAGCTAACAACAATGAGTATAGAAATATAAAAAGGATCAAATGACACATAAGCAACACCAAAACACATTCAAAAGCACTAAAGTACAACAGTCTGTTTGAAAATCCCACTCGAGCAGCCAGTCACTCAGGGAACGCCTGTGTGAAGAGAAAAGTGTTCGCCTACCTGTGGAAGGACAGTAAAGATGGGACCCGCCTAGCCTCCTGCGGGTGGGAGTTCCGAAGTTTGGGAGCAGTGACGGAGAAGGCCCTCTCCCGTGTCCCCACCCAACACACTGTTGAAGGTAATGGGACCAAGACAAAGTCCTCTCCTGATGAGCTGGCTCATAAAGGGAGATGCCGTCCTTGAGACAGCTTGAGCCCAAGCCATTTAGGGCTTGATAGGTTAGAACCAACACTTTAAATTCTGCCCAGAAACAGATCGGCAGCCAGTGGAGCTGCTGTAACACAAGGGGGTTATGTGATCCCTGTAACCAACCCCAGTCAGCAATCTGTTACCCAAATTTGTTGTGTAATTCTGCACTCATTCCGGGACCTAATTGTGCTTGTTTAATGCAAACAACTCATGTCTGACATACAGTGATCCTGTAAATTAGTGACCCCCCCAAAAAAAAAGGTCCTGTTGTTAGAAGGCTTGTACAAGTCTTGCAAGTTCAAGACTGTGGCTTCCTTTACTGAGTTAATCTGTCCCATGTTGGGTCATCCTCTTTTCCTGCTGCCTTCAACTTTTCCTAGCATTGTTGTCTTTTCCGGTGAATCTTGTCTTCTCATGATGTGTTCAAAATATGTTAGCCTCCATCTAATCATTTTTGCTTTTAGAAAAAGATCAGGCTTGTTTGTCTTTCTGGCAATCCTGGGCACTGATAAAGCTGTTCTCCAGCTCGACATTTCAGTTGTAAGTAGCACCCCCACAAATGCATGGGAGTCTCTTCCTCTCCCCTGGCCATTTAAAGTATGGCTGGCCGACCTTTACCTAAAAGTGCAAATAGCAGCTGATGCACAGAAAACATTTGCAGAACTCACAGAACCCCATGGCACCAAGAAAAGCAGTTTACTAATGGCAGAGGACGGGCAAGGAACCCACAGCCCTCCGGAGGTTTTGGACAACACCTCTTTGCATTAGCCAACAGGGCCAGTGGGTCAGAAAATTATAATGCCAAAGATCTATAGGTTGCTAACCCTTCCGGTAGGCTGGACCAGAGAGAATAAAGAAAACGATGATGAATGCTGCAGCTCAGTGTTGATTTAAGGGCATTTGCTGCTGCTAGCTCAGAAAATAAGCTTTTCAGTCAATTGAATTGACTGCAGGGAGACTGAACTAAGCTTTCGGGCTTGTCTTTCTATCTGCTGGGGTCTCTTTACTCCGAGCCACATGTGACATGGCACTCCGGGCCCCTGCATCTCTCTCTCTCTCTCTCTCTCTCTCTCTCTCTCTCTCTCTCTCTCTCTCTGCGTGCGCGCACGCTTATCTCAGCACCTCCTTCCATCTCTCGCTCTGTACTTTTCTATCCCCGGCACCCAAATGTGTCTTTCCCCTTCCACACTCAACTTCTCTCTCACTCACTCACTCACTCACTCACCTTACTCACTCACTCACACACACACACACACAAAGACACACAGACACACACATATTCAACACATCTTTTTCCAATAACCAGCTGCTGCCCTCTCCCCACCCTCTTTCCCCTTGCCTTTTCATCTCCCTGCCTTCTCTCCTCCTCTCTCCCTGCCCAGCGTGGCTCTGGCACATACACTAGGTGGCTTCTTTCTGGATGCTTGAGCCAGACAACTCCCGAGGCACACAACGCACCACACCACACACAGCATACACGCTGCCTGCCTGCCTGCCTGCCTGCTGCTTCCTTGGAACCAGGAGAGGCTGCTGGTACTTTGAACTCCTGCCCATCAAAGCTGCAGGCAGCTGTTCTTGAGCATTGGTTCCTGCTCTCTCTTTCTCTCTCTCTTTCTCTCGCTCCTTCTCACTCTCAAGTGCCAGCCGAAGAAGCCACTCTGGTGCAAGTTGAGAACCAGAGACCAGGAAGAAGCAGAAGAATGAGTTCTTGTACCAAGGAAGACAGGACTTGTTGAAGGGATCTGTCCTGTCCCCAGTAGGTTCCTGCCCTCCCTTCTTCCGAACCATGGAGGGCAGCTGGACCGGCCGTGGGGTGGAGTCCCCCTTCTTCTTCCTGGAGCGAACCACATTCCACGGACTCCGCCACGTCTTCTCGGCGCAGCGGTCGTGCCCCCACCGGGCCTTCTGGCTGGCAGCTTTCCTGGCCTCGCTGGGCTTGCTCTTCACCTGGTCCTCCAACCGCATCCACTACCTGCTCTCCTGGCCCATCCACACCAAGGTGCACATCCGCTACGCCCGCAACCTCACCTTCCCGGCCGTCACCTTCTGCAACAACAACCTGCTTCTGGCACACCGCATGAGCCGAGCTGACCTCCACTTGGGGGGCTACTGGCTGGGGCTCCTCCAGAAGAACCTCCAGCCGGTGCCTGCCATCCGGGCCCTCCTGCAAGACCCCAGGTGGCTCTGGCTGGGGAGTCTGCTCAACTTCTCACACTACTTGCCCCCTTCACCGCCGCAGGACCAGTCCACCCGACAACTGCTGGACAGGCTGGGCCACCAGCTTGAGGAGATGCTGCTCTCCTGCCGCTTTCAGGGCGAGCGCTGTGGCCCCCACAACTTCACCACTGTGAGTCAGGTGTGGGGCAAGGGGGGTGGCGGCAGTGGGGACAAGCAGCTACCTCAGAACCAGAGCTCAGAAAAGTTACCTTTCTGACTCCAACTCCCAGCCATGATGGCCACTGGCTGTGATTCTGGGAGTAACCCTCCAGAAAGTAACTTTCTAAAGCTTCAGCCAGACCCTGGGTGAAGGGGGGTGTGGTAGAATTATGCATTCCGAGGGAAGTGTTAGTTGGTTCCACAACTGCAGAGCAGCTGTTCTGATACAGGTAAATGCCAAATGTGTGCATAAGAACATGTAGCATTTAGCCTGATCCTTGCAGACTGCATGTTTGTCCTTGGTGCACAGGAAGAGAGGTCAGAGAAGCTTGAAGAATTGTTCAGGGCTTTTTAAAACTGCTGCTTCTTTTCACAGCAGTAGCCCTTTTTCTTTTGTATTCATGCATTGGGGGGGTGCATGCTAAGCAGAGCTTGGGAAAGTTAGCTTTTGACTACAGATCCCAGAATCCCCCAGTGACCATGCTGGGTGTGGTGTTTTGGGAGATGTCATCCAAAAGAGTAACTTTCCCAGGCTGTAGTGCTAAATTAAAACAAAATGGTGGGCAACCTGAACTGAAGTGGGATTCACGCTGTTTAGATTATAGTGGGTTGAGGCTGATGTGGAGGGTAGAGGCAATGCCCTCGTCCTTCATCTTCCTTACGTAATGGAGAGAGTGGGGACGGAGTAGACTAGCGGCACAATCTCCCCTACTTGCATTGGGGAGGGGAATCAGACCCCCTGAACTATTGGGCCCTAGTTAGAACAAAAATACGGTACCTCAAGCGCAGGTGGTTAGGTCTAAACAGGAATCAGGCAAGTGCTGAAATGAAATTTTGGAAGGAGGAGAGAGAACATGACCTTAAAACTCATGACAACTTGGTTTTTCTTTGTTTTTTCTAATAAGAAACTGGTTTAGTGGGACATGCAGCAGGCCTGAGTCTTCTCCTGTAGAGAGAGCCAAAAAAAAGAGGAAGTCCGTAGTAGGGGAAGAGATGGATCTCTCATTCCAAGGGAGATTTGTGTGACAGGGGCTCATCACCTTCCCCCAGAGTGTCTGCTACTTTATCCGTATATTTGCAATCATGACTCATGAGCGATTGCTGTTTTTACTGTTTGACTTTAAAAATAAATATGGCTGATTTATCCTCTTTTTTTCTCAGCACAGTGGTCTAAATAGTCCGCACTGTTTTCCTCCACTCCCTTCTTCATCCCAAATCCCTTCCGCATGGGTAGAGATCTGAGATGCAAGATTATATTATAAAACAGATCTGAACTCTAGCTTAAGCTGCAGCCCTACACTCAACTCCTTGGGAGTTTTTAGTGCCACTGAACCCAGTGTCACCCATCCAACGTGGGAATGAATATGCACAGGGTCAGGCTGCCCATTTTCATTCGGGGCATTTTCCTACTTCCTACAAGATGCAAAGAGCACTCCCCCCCCACCCCATCTGCCAGAGCCATTTTTGGTAATCCTGTGGGAGGATATTTAAGCCTGTTCATGATCTGCGGCTAACGTCCCATTCCAGCAATGATTTATGCTTATTTATCGGAGGAACTGCCGTTCTTGCCCCTAATGGTTAGAGCCGCATTATGGTTTCCACCCTTTGGTTTCCCCAGGAGGTCTTCGTCTCTTGCACGGTAACTCCTGGAAGCCTCCTTCTTGTTTTCAACTCTTGCTGTTCTTAATGGCTTGCCCACAGTTAGCAAAATATCATGTTGGTGTGAACAAGGCAATGAAGTACCTTTAGATGCCTGCTGTTGTCCTGCCCCTTCTAGGATGTACAGGAATGGCTAAGGGTGCATATTATTTCAGAGTATTCCTTTCAGTTGAATAAAGACCATTGATCTCTAATTTGATAGGGACTATGACATCCTTGGTTGGCTCTCTAGCTGTTTACCTAGCTGGGCTTTGCCTACTCACTCGGGTTTTCCTCCGAGGATCAGCCCTTGAGCTGTGCCTTAGGGGGCAGGTGGTGCGGAATGGCCATGATATGCACTAGAGAAGATCACTGTGTGCTTCATGCAGCTTGCCCTACACCTTCTAATCTAGCCTGAGATGTCCTCAGCAGAGGCTAATGTCCCGTCATCTGCCTTGAAGTTAAGATTCCAGTCTGATTGACTTTAGCATGTAAAAAGGGGGAGGGGCACCATCCTGACTTCCTGCACAGGCTGCTAAATATTTTAGGCTGATTGGAGCACCTCTGAGAAGCGCTTCAGGCACTGCTTCTCTTGTGGAGATGAGATCAGTGGCGACTCCCATTAGGGCTTTCTCAAACAATGCCCTCCTCCTTGCTGCTACTGTTTTATGTTGCTTTTATATTTTTAGTTTTTCTTGTGCAGGATTGCACTTGAAGATTTGAGTGGAAGTTCAACAAGTGAGCTTCTTGTATTCTCGAAGGCTTTCATGGCTGGGATCTGATGGTTGTTGTGGGTTTTCTGGGCTGTTTGGGCATGTTCTGAAGGTTTTTCTTCCTAACGTTTCGCCAGTCTCTGTGGCCGGCATCTTCAGAGAACAGAGGAGTCCGAACTCTGTCTGTGCACCAGCTACACAGTGAACTTCTTCTCTTTTCTTGTCCCAGAGACTGACATAAAGGGCATTTTCCCAAAGGCAGGTTCACCAGTTTGTGCCTCTGGATAGATACACAGAGCCTGCTGAACGTGGTTACATCTGAGGTGATAGAGCAGTTCTGTCTGGAGCTTCGAAAAGTTGCTTACCCTTTATTCTTATTCCAAATATCCGCCAGCTAGTATGGTCAATGGGAACTGTAGTCTGAAAAAGTAATTCCCCCCCCCTCGAGCTCTGCTTCTATCCATAGTATCAAATCAGGGATAGGCACCTTTCCACAGGCAATGAGGTGACCTTGCAGTTGTGGAGTGATGGACATGCACATAATCCAGAAACCCTGTGCTCTTTGTCAAGTCTTGCCTCCTTTCATTTTTCTAAATGGAAAGTTTCATGTCTTGTCGTGCAACCTTCCTTCCAAGATGATTCATTCCTGATTGCCCCTTTCATCCACCCCCTCCCTCGGCTGCACTAGAACAAAGTTGGCATGACACAAAAATCTGACATTTGCGATTTGTATAAAATATTCCCATTAAGCGTATTTCCATACATTTGTTTATTTTGCATAAATTCTTTTTTTCTCACCACCATGGGGAGAGGCAAAGAGCTATGCACGGCAGGTGGAATTCGATTAAGTCCTCCTGCTGACAGAATAGCTTCTGCCAGGGAATTGGGGATGATTGTCTTTCCGCCACAGACATCTGGACATTCCAAACATTTTTGGGAATATTTGGAGGGGGCCTCTAGAGCAGATGTCTGTTTTATTATTTTGTTGTTGTTTTTTAAGTACGGAGGGGGCTGCAAGCTAGCAGTAAATCCCTATCACATTGGCTAAAATAAAGTATTAACTTGCAGCTGGAGAAAGCCCATTGAATCAGTGGGGATTTGGTGAGCCAACTGTTTCATAAGTTCAATTGAATAAGCCTACTCTAGTTGCAGCTTACTACTGGATTTTAGCCATTATGTTGGATTTTGCTCTACAGATATGTCAGAAGTTGGGAAAGTGACTTTTTACTCTTTGCTCCAAAGAGTTTGCCAAACAATTCCCACATATTTGCAGTCATAACAAGTAGAAGCTTTTTTTAAAAAAAGTCATGACATGCTTCAAACAGGTTTTTCTCCCCACCCCGTTTTTTATTGTATCCATACAGTAAGGTGACAAGAATCTTGTACACAAGGGAATGTCTGTTCAAATGCAAAGACTGAAACCTAGGCAACATTGCAAGGACCAAGGGGAGGTCACTGCTTTCCCTTCCAGTGGCATTTCATAACATAAGCCTCCTTATAACTCTAAGTCCTTGCTCCCATCCATTGTCCTTGCAAATGACTTCTTTCATTGTTAACTGTCTCAGTGGAGGAAAACATGTAAAATTTCTATTATCTGAGAGTTAAACTTGGGGCCTTCGTTTTAATTAAGAAAGATGCGGATTCTTTACAAATGAGTCCCAAGTACTTTGATGAAGTCTGACTTGCTTTTAATAATTCACAGTCCAGGCCCTTGGGAGCCATAGCAATGCATAATTCATCGTCAGCAGGTTACTGTTGTAATTCACACAGAGATGTCTCATGGACATCACCAAACCAGAAGTCTGGGGCTAGACACCGAGGAACCCCCACCTGGAATGCAAAGGTTCCGCTCAAGTGAGGGGGCTCCAGGAGATTGCACAACTCAACACTGCAGTCCCATCAAGGATGGGGCAGAAAAAGAAAGCCCTCTCAGACATGGTGGTGCTTCCAGGAGTGCCAGCTAAGAGTGGCCAAGCTTATCCCTCCTCCTGGAAGGGGAAAAGAGGAGCAAGCCTTCTCAGCCAAGGGTTCCGGGAGCTGGCTGAGACTCAGGTCGCTGCTGGAAGCCCTGTCTTGAGAACAGGAACAGCAATCCCTTATTGCTGTCTCCAGCCAGTGGCTGAAGATAGGATTCGGGGGTGGGTGGGGTGGGAGGGTGTTCGGAAGCTGACTTCTGCTGAATCAGAGCGGTGGTCTCTCTATCCCACTGCTGTTAACTGGGATTGGCAAGGGCTGCCTGGGAAGTCAGACAAGTTTCTTTCCTAACTCTGCTTAGAGATCCCTGATACTCTCAGGTAGTTCCCCATTCCAGGTACTCACCAGGCCCAACCCTGCTCAGCTTTCCAAATCAACAAGAAAATTAATGATGGGGCAGGAGGGTGGACAAAAGGCAAGGGTTCTTGTCCTGTCCAAGTAGAGGTAGAGCTATAGGAAAGAAGCTTTGGTGGCAGGTGAAGGGGGGAGGAATTTGGCATGCCCACAGGTTGGGGTGGAGATCCCACCCCGATGTCACATACTTCAGTGTCACTAGAGAGTTGCCTTCGGCTTCCTTCCCTCTGTGGTGTTTCATTTTTCTCTGAGTTCACAAACTGAATTATAACAGACACTTATAAGTGTGAAC